TATATATATATATACATATACATGTCTATGTATAGAAAGATAAAAGATATATACATACTAATGAGAACTACAATTAGGCTCCTTCATGTCTAAATACTTAAAAAACCTATTTTTAAAACTGAAGGAGCTGAGTTCTCTTAAATTTTTTGGGAGATCTTTCAGTCTTTTGTAGAAGCGTACTTAAACAAAGACTGTCCAGTGATTGTGATAATAATGACGACAACAAACGATATGCAGGAAACTCCTCCCACGCCAGACAGAGATTTGGTAACTCAGTATTAAATAACCTTGAACCCCAGAGCAAGATGTCAAGGGTTGTTCCCTGCTTGAGCCACTCTGTGCCATTTTTAAGGAAGAATATTTCTTCCTGCGGTTCCATTTTCAGGCCAGGAATATTAAGAGGTCATGAGGCTTGAAAGAATCAGCTTACAATCTCAATTAGTGGTTTCTAGTAAGGTCATCTGAGGAAAAAAGTTGCACGTGCATTACCACACACTCCGAAGTGTGTGTAATATAGTTACACTTATTACATGCATGTGATGCACGGGGTGGGGGTGGGGCTGCTGCTGCAATGCATTGAAGCTGTACTGTAAATATCATAGCAGATCCACTTTTAAATTTATGGACTAGGTTTGTTTAGGTCATGTTCTTCTTGTGTTTTAGACGTATAATTGAACTCATGAATGACCTTGTGGACAAACACAAAGTTATATTTGTGGCAAGTGCTGGTAACAATGGTCCTGCCCTCTCCACAGTGGGATGTCCAGGGGGTACTGCAGAGTCTCTTATAGGTAAAAGTTTTTCGCAAGATTAATTTTTAAGTAACAGTGGCGTAATAATTGGTTAAGATTATGGCATCTTTTTTAAAGCAAAAAAAATACAAAATGTAAATCTGTGCTTGGGTCTTTTTTTTCAAATTAAGCTATTACTTTTGTAAGAGTGCCTATTCTTGATTTTTAAAGTGTAGTACGATCGTCCGGGTGAGTGTAGTCCTGAGAAGGATTAATAGGGAGCTTTTTAGCAACGACGACGGCGACGGCAACGAAAACTTCGTGTCGAAATCTAACTTTTCGTTTTTGTAACTCTTTCGAGATTATTCCGATGTGTTTCACTTGGAAAATGGTGGCGAACTATTCAGGGACTATATCACCACGAACGGCGTTAAAGTAAGGAGAAAGACAGAAAAATTAACCGTCATGCGCTCACGTTCTCGAGAAAACCTAAAGTTTGGTTATTTCGCGTTGTTTTTTTTGCCGAGAACGGCAAAGAAAGGTACCAAAATGTTAAACGCACGTGCAGGGCGAATGTTTTTGCTCATTAAGCCTATTGTTTTCTGCCGTTCTCGTTGCCCTCGCCGTCGTCGTTGCCAAAGCTCCCGTCGGTGGTGGTGACTGACTGACGTTTTGACAACCTGTGCATAAGTCATTATCAGAGTCATGAACTCCTGACACACTTTACTCTGATGATGACTTCTGCACAGGTTGTCAAAACGTCAGTCACCACCACTGACAACAGTCCTTCTCAGGACTACACACACCCTCACAACTTAAGTTTCTGGCAGGTTT